TCGACAGATCTACAAACTAGTCAGTCAGTTATTTCAACAATGATACCAACAGAAACACGTACTCTCAAAGATTCAGTACATAGTTCAAAACGTATAGGTGGAAATTATGGTAGTTTAGCTAAATCAAAAATTCTTCCAACATTTTACATTGTTCACAAAGTTGAATTAGATGATACTTTACAAAGGCTTGCATTAAAATATAGTATCAATGTATGTATTGTATAGATTTTTCTTTTAATCGTTATTATTTACTATATTTCAATTGCAGATTCAAGAAATCAAACGAGTTAATAAATTATGGTCTGATGCTGAATTAGGTTTATTAGAAAATGTATATATTCCTGTTAGTTCTACGCAAATATCAATATTTCGAACTCAATATCCAACATTAGATATTGTTCAAAATATACCATTATTAACAAATCCTTTTCGAAAATCATCAATAAATACAAATACAATTGATGGAATAACTTCATCTAATCGATTATCTGATAGTTCAATTTCTATATCAACAACAAACAAATCATCCTATCAAGATTATCTGTCGAAAATCGATCAACAAATACAACTAACAAAAAAAACATTACAATTAATGGATATCAAAGAACAACTTCCAAAGTATAAATATTAATAAATAATATTTGATAATTATATTTGTATTTTAGTTCCGAACCTCGTGACATATTTACTTCACATATTTCTAATAAGAATGATACAAATTCTTGTAAAAATAATCGTACTACTTCTCAAAATAATGAACAACATACAAATGCATATCATCTATCTGATAATAGTGTATTTCTGAATATGACAAAACACAATTCACGTGATAAATATATATCAGCTGCTCTTGAACGAATACAACGAGAAAAAGATGATTTTGATGAACTGTAAATTTATTTATATATTAACAGTAAATAACAAAGTGAGAAACATAAAATTTGAGTCAATTTTATTTTTAATTTATTTATATATGTCATCTGAGAGTTTAGCAAGTTGAGAATGAAACTATACTTTTTATTTGAATTACATCCTTCTGTTATGCGAAAAAATCTAAAAAGCAATAGAATTAAATGTTTAGTCAATAGTAACTTTTTTTTTCATAGGAAATTTCGAATTTTTATTATCTATTTTTTAAACTTTTTGAAAAACATTTTTATCCATTATAGGTAGTCTCAGAACATGCATTTATCGACACTTTTGTAAACCTATCTAATTTTCTTGTTAAAGAACATAGGACTAAATTTTTTATCTCATTGAAATTATTGAATCTCGAACTACAAAAGAATCTTTCGTTTTAGTTTATTGTTGAGAAAATTGTGCATCTTCTCATTTCGATGGCAAATGAATCAAAAATAGCTTTGTATTTTATAGATTTAAGTATCATAACTCGATCAAAAAAAAATAGGCAAATAAATAATTAATTTGACGTATATATGTTAACAAGACCTATAGAATCTTACTGTTCCTTACACTACCTATAATGAATAAAGTTTTTTACTCTGTTAGGTTTTAAATCTATACAAATAATATTTTTCCTAATAAGCGTTGGATGTTGAGTTAAACTAAAATACTTTTAAACTATATGTCTAATTTTAGTGACTTCTTTGGCTTTTTCCAATGACAGAGAGACTCAATTAAAATACAAAACATAGTTTCGTGAATAACTTGTTCAGCTTTTTGCTTCTATGTATAAATAAATTAAAAACAAAGTTGACTCGAATTCTGCATTTGCCAATGCCTTATTTTTTTTTTATTAAAATACTCAAGCGAATGACATTCGAAAAAAAAAAAGACAAATAATAATATTTTCCTATTGTTTTCTATGCACCGTTCTCCTAATGTTACTCGCCATGCAATAGTATTTTCTCCCTGACACGCTTTCATTTCAAAATAAAAAGCGATCATTATAATATATGAAAAATATTTCTATTTAATTATAGATATACATGATATTGCGATTGCATAGAAATTTCACAGCAATTCATAGTTAACGCAAAATACTTATTGGTACAATTACTAAATGATATCAATCAAATGTGTTGAGTTTTAGTAAAACATATAACATCAGATATTAATCATAAATTTTTTAATATTTTCGTCCAAATAACAATGAACTATTTTTCTTCAAAAAAATTCATTTTAAGTATTCTCGTATATCGTGGTTTTGCATAACAAGAATTAGCTGATCAATGTTTTGGTAATGTGATTGCATCATGTAAAAATTATTCAAATATCTGTCATTACGGGCGTTCGAATCTCAAATTTCTTTCAATATCGATCGATATTGGCTATGCAGATATTATAAGCAGTGGATAATGCTTATGCATGGAAACAGTGCAGCTACTCTACAAGTTCAGTGACTTTTTTGCCGAGTTAGTTTTACTTTTTTGTTGTTGTTTATACCATATATTTTCTAAATTTAGTTAGTGGTAACAATAGTTATGGAAAAACTAATACTAACAGAGAGTCAATGTCGAACAAATAGTATTGTTGCCCGAGGAGCAGGTTATAGCATGACAACAGTATATGTTGACGAAAATGATTTTTTTTTGGGGGGGTATATAATACAATAAGAGTAGTGAATGAATTATCTTTAAATGTAATGTGACCAATTTTGTTAACAGTAATGACGCTTAGATAATAAATGAAGTCTCATATTGATACATGTGTTCTTAATTATTCAGTATATTTGATATAAACGTTATAGTTTTATTAATGTTTTTACATTTTTTTTATTAAACATCTTGATTTTATAATAGAAATCTTTCAGATCTTCTCAATATTCAGAGAAGTTCTTCAAATATTCACAGTTTTCATCATGCAAAAGTAGTCAGTTTAACACACTATGCTTTCGAATTGAGTTCGACTTGAACAGTTTAAAGTTGAGTTGAATCATAAATGAATATCGATATAGCTATTACTCAAGAACGAAATTAGATTAATTCTCAAATCATTTTTCATAGTGTCTATCAATACTGGAAATTGTCTTGCTTTCATCAATGTCGCCAACGTTTACTTGCGCAAACTCCTAGGTAATAAAATACAAGTTATTTATTCTAAATACATAATATCTGCAGTGACTTAGACAATCTTTTATGTAATCATATACGGTCAAAGATCGTATATTAATAGCATCTCATTATAAGATATGAACTGCTTATTGCAGTTGTGAAGGATTAAGTTAAGATTGGTGAAGATATGTTTCTCAAAATAGATAGTATATACCAATTTTTTTACGATTAGACACAGACACTACCTCATGTTTCACATTTTCATCCTAGAAGAATAGCGCTAACAATTTTTTAATAAAGTTGACCATTATTCAACATCTGACGATAGCTCATTTGATGGATCAATTAAGGCAATAAGCTCATATAATAAAAAATTCAATTAATAATATGTTTTTCGTAAATAGATGTATAATATGGTTGTTAGAATGAAGAAACATGAAAACAGAACTCCCAAAAAAATGAATATAATTTCAATTGTTTTCTTATACATTAAGAAATTTTATTCTTAAAGATATTTAGATAATGGAAGCATTACAAAATATCTTGGAATTAATGAAACGAGCAATTTGTTTCAACAATGTTTGAAAATATTTTTCATAAAATAGAAATTTATTTACAAAAAAGAAATGGATGAACATGTTCGTCGAAATCTTGATCAATATTGATTATCATTTTATCAATTATCTTTAACATAAGAAATCATTCCATGCTTTTTGCTATGATAATTTTATTGATGATTTTATACTGCAAAATGAATTTCATAGATAAAAAAGATATCTAATAAGTTTTGATCCCCTCAAGTAATCTATTTTTCTTACATGATTCTTCAGTAGAATAGGCTGATATATAAAGTATATGAACTTAGATGTCCAAATCTATTCTACATTGAAGTTGGATCTTTCTATTTTGCACAGTCATAGATGAGTACAAAAAACGTAAAATTCATAGAAATTTTTAATTATTTTAAAAAATATTTCTTTTTTATCAGTAAAGTATACTCATAATTTGAATTTCTTCAAACATAATTTAAAAAAACATGTACATCAATGTTTATGTTTCGACTCTCGAGCTTGATCTATTATTTGTTTTAATCGACTCAATATTTTTTTCCATCGTTTTCTTCACTTAAAAGAGTATCATAACTTGATTGAATAACTGTAAAAATATTAAACTAAAGTAGTGACAGTGATCTACGAATTCATTTAGTTACTAAAAGCAAACTAGTCTTCTCATATAGTTCTTTGATAAATTTTGTTGGTTCTGCACACTCTAATCACTAGAAAAATAGAGATCATGAAATTTTACTTATTTTGACAACCATACCTGGGCAAATAGGAGAATGCAAGACTGATATACAGAAAAGTAAAAATTACCCATGGTGAGAGAGTGATTGAATGAATACAATTTTATTTCGTCTTTAATGTTTCTAAAAAATCATTCAAAAACCTTGTATGAATTTTATATTAATTGTATCGCAGTGACTCTAATAGATAGGAGACTCAATTTATATTTTAGAGTAGATCTGAACGTTTAATATATATCAGTCATTTCAGACAAAACACGACATACTTATCTTTCAGTTGACTTTGATTATGTACAAGATTTATTTTTCTGAATAAGTTCTTCGAGCATAAACATCTATAAAAATATTCATTAACTCAAAACCGAAAACTACTATCTAGAGTTTACAAAATGAACCACATCCACGGTGGAATTTTCAGTAAGATTAGATCCACAAAAAACTTTTATCTTAGCATTATCTAGAAATTCTGAAAAAGGATTTGTAGTGTTTGAAGTTTGTTTCGAGCTTCTCATTCGGTTATAAGAGCATTTTTTCGTGGCCCGTCATATTGCTAACGAATGATTGGACCCATATACCCGTAAATACTAGCTGATCATATTGAAGAATCATATAAGAAAAGAAAATTATTTGAGAAAATGAACACTAATTGACAAAGAATTAATATTTTTATGATTTATTTTCAGATGCAAAAGGTTGATTGTCTTATTGTGGGTGGTGGTATTTTAGGTGTAGCTGTTGCTCGACATCTACAATCAACATTTTCACATTTGAAATGTTTATTAGTCGAAAAAGAGAATATATTAGGTTAGACTAAAACAAAAAAAACAAAAGATCAATAAAATTCTAATTAAAAAAGAATTATTTTAGCTAAACATCAAACAGGTCATAATTCAGGTGTAATTCATGCTGGAATTTATTATAAAACTGGCTCATTAAAAGCAAATCTTTGTATTGAAGGTTTAAAAAGAATCTATGAATATTGTGATGCTAATCATTTACCATATAAAAAATGTGGAAAAGTGAGATTAAAGACTCTTTGTTTTTTGTTTAGTGTAAATATTGAATTTTTTTTTGTAGTTAATTGTTGCTGTTGAACGTGATCAATTAGGACGTCTTGATAATTTATATCGACAAGCAACAGAAAATGGTGTTCAAGATATTAAAATGCTTGATTCAAAACAAATTAGAGAAATTGAACCTAATTGTCGAGTAAGAGAATATTTTTTGTTTCAACATTCAATTGTTGTTTTTTATATTTATTCGTAAAAAGGGTATTCGAGCATTACATAGTCCACATACAGGTATTGTTGATTATGGTTTATTATGTCGACATTTCGGTAAAACTTTTGAACAACTTGGTGGACGCATTGTTCTTAATTTTGAAGCAGAAAAATTTCTTTCATCTGGTGATGCTTCTTATCCAATTCTTGTTAAAAGTAAAACAAATGTAAGTTTTTTTTTATATTTATTTTTGTTATCTCAATCATGTATTTAGATTAATTTAGTCAGCTATTTTAAGTCGTTATGTAATAACTTGTGGTGGATTACAAGCTGATAAACTTGCTATAGCTTGTGGAGGTTCAAAACATCCCACTATTGTACCATTTCGTGGAGATTATCTTAAATTAAAAAATCCTAATAAAGATACATTAAAAGTTAATGGTAATATTTATCCAGTTCCTGATCCGAGATTTCCTTTTCTTGGTATTGAAAATTAAACACATCTCTTTTCATATTTTGTTTTTTATATTAATTTTAATTGTATATAGGTGTTCATTTCACTCCAAGAATGGATGGTTCAGTTTGGCTTGGTCCTAATGCGGTACTTTCTATGAAACGTGAAGGATACGGTCTGTTTGATTTCAATATTCGAGATACAATCGATCATGCATTGAATAGGTAATTAGAATATTAAAGAAGTTTCGATAAGATTTATTTAACAAAAACATCAATGATATATAATCTGTGGTATATAGCAATTCTTCAAATGTCTTATGAGAAATGAAAGAACGATGGGACACAGTAAAACTTCAGAGTTATTAAGTCTGTGAGTTTTCTCTGGCAAAATTGAATATCTTATATCATAGAACAGAACATTTAATAAAATGTAGTTGTGAAAAATTCTAAATTTGAATTATTTTAGACACATATTCATGAGTTAGTCTTTCCCTTCTGTCTTCATTCTTTTTTCGTACAATGCCTTTGATCTTAAGTGAATGTTAGTTATAAGAATTGCATGAATATTGTATTTTACTTTATCGTATGATTGATTATGATCTATTTCAATGATGAATATATGTCATTCAATGTAATTGATCAATATTAAAAATGAGTTGGTTGATAGAATACAATATAGCTAGCTTATCTCTATTTTTGATATTTTCTGCATGTTTTACTAGTTTAACTCTATCTGTTTTTGTATAATTACCTATACCAAATTCTCGGAAGAGCTTCGAGGCAGTGATGAAGAGACTTTAATAATTCAAATCAGCAGATAAAAAAAAATAAGAGACAACTCAGTCTTGAAGTATTCTGTTGACCATTTCAATTTTAGTGCTGTTCAACTGTATTAGAAGACTTATATTCTTCATTAAAGCATACTGTCATCAGTCATCTACTACACTTCAATAAAGTATTTAAGACATTCTTATAACTAATATTCACTTGAGATGAAAGAAGTTTTATATGAAAAGAATGAGGTGAAAGACTTTTGTCCAAGTTTGTAGTTCTCGATTATCTTCAGCAAGGAGAAAGGCTTAAATTTGTGAAAGAGCCAAACCAGACTTTCTAGTAGACAAAAAGCTGTCAGCCAGTATCAGTCAGATAGTACATGTTGCACTACCACCGATATAATGCACATTATACTGAATAACATTTCAGCAATTTGTGTCTGCTTTGAATCGCATGAGAGTTTTTTAGCTAGTGTCGAGAGTTTTTGCAGACACAAAACAAAAAGTAATAAATGCGGAAACTTCGAATTTAAATCCGAGAGTTACGTGTACTTCAAAAAGTGAATCAGACGAATTAGCCATCCTAGAATGTGTAAACATCAAAATTATACTGGGGAACCTACCCTCTAAACTGTTGATTTCTATTGGGTATTGCCAAACCAATAGGACTTGGGACTAAATACAGCTCAAATTTGAACTCTTCCCCTTGATTTACCCTAAGAAAGTCGTTTTTCCTATAACTTGATTTCTATTAGTTACTGCTCAACCAATAGTATTTCGATGGAAGCGGAATCCAGATTCGAGTTCTCCATCTCAGAAAACCTCGAAGTATCATCTCTGCGATCGGAAGATAGAGCTCTATTTGTGGATCAATTAGATCGTGGACAAAAATATAAGCTAGTTCTCTTTAATTATCTTTCTCATAGGCGAGTCAACCTTCTTGTTTCTTTATGTTTTATGCACCATTTTGTAGCTCTTGAAATTCTCTATCGAATGGTATATAATAGTTGGGGTTTTAGTTGACTATGATAGGAAAAGTCTTTTACGAAAGTGGGGAAGGGTAGATCTTTTCATAGGGAAGCTATAGGGAAAAATGGGTATTTTTGCAATAACTCAGGAACCGCTGGGCTGATCCTTCTCATCTTCGAACTCCACCGAGATATTGTAAAGAGTGAACTGTATAGAAAATTTCATCGTGATAGGCCTCTCCTTTCGAAAGTTATCATGTAAACGGCAGGACGGACGGACGGCCGGCCGGTCGGACATACTGACCGATTCTAGAGTGTACTCACTTTTTGAGTACACAAAAAGGGATAGTATCGCCAGCTTTTCTGTCATCGAGTTCATTACTTCACAAGTTGGACAAATCAGAATTTTTCCAGAACATATATAAGATATTTAACTTTGTTACATGAAATTCTCAACTAGACAAGTGTATTTATCCAACAAACAATACTTGAGATTGTTGAAGAGTTGACAAACTATTATGTACTTTGAATGAACAACTCTAATAATGACTGTCTTTACTTATATATTTTAGTGGTCTTCGTAATCTTGCTTGGAAACATATGAGTTATGGCTTTAGTGAAATGCGTCGTGCTTATTCACTATCGGCTACGGTGAGAGAATTGCAAAAATTTGTACCGGCTCTCACTGTTAAAGATGTTGAAAGGTAATGCTTATAGACGATATATCTATAAAAACAAACATATTTTCCATCTATATTTAGAGGTCCAAGTGGTGTTCGAGCACAAGCTTTATCAGCAGATGGAAATCTTGTTGAAGATTTTATCTTTGAGACAGTTAACACTGGTCATTTAAAAAATCTGATTTTACATGTACGAAATGCGCCAAGTCCTGCAGCAACATCATCATTACCGATTGCTGATATGATTGTAGCCAAAGCAAAAGAATGCTTCAATCTTTAATGACATTTTATCTTTCTTGTTAATTTATACTTCTTATATTTTAGTGCAACGTTAGAATATTGATGATTCATTTTTTTTTTTTGAAATACATATACTGATTTATCACGTTTTTCAGATATCTTATAAACATGTCTCTCGCTGAGCAACTCGCCGAAATGGGTTTTGAAAAAAATCAAATGTATGTATTGATCTATTGTTCTTGTTTTTTCTGTATCGATCTATTTTACTTTTTATTACAGTGATAGCGCTATTAATGTAGGACAAGCTGCAAATATGGAACAAGCTATTGATTGGTAAAATTTTCTATGAAACATTAAAAGTAATAAGATTAATTCATTTAGGATTACGACACATGAGAATGAAATAGCATCGGGAACTGCAGCTAGTTCTGAACCAGTACTCAATTTGAGTTCTAATGCTAGTGCAGCAGTAACAACGACTGAAGCTCAAGCTGAAGCGAATTCACTCAAATGTGATGAGTAGGAACAGAAGAAAAATACTTTGTTTTTTATTGTTCTATATAAATTTATTCGTTTTAGATGTGGTAAACTATTAAAAGATGCGGATGCAGCAACAGCTCATGCTATGAAAACAAATCATTCAAGTTTTTCTGAATGTACTGAAACAATTAAACCATTAACAGCTGAAGAAAAAGAAGAAATGAAGAAAAAGTATGAATTATATTCTAAGTTTTTTTTTTTCAAGAACGATTATTTTATCTTTCTCATTGTAGAATTCAAGAACGTATTGTTGCTCGACGTAAGGAACAACAAGTGGCTGATGAAAAAAAAGCAATCGAAATGGAAAAAAAACGTATTGTTGAAGGAAAAACTTTATCCGAAATCAAACAAAAGTGAATATATTTTTAATAAAATATGATTTATTGAAGTTAAGTTGCTGTGGTTTTTTTGTGACACACGATCTAAAAGAAATGTTGAAGTATATGAGTAGAACTTTGAGTCCCCTGACAGATGTGATAGACATCGTAGTGACGCTCAATGTTTAACTGAGATTTTTCTTCCTCGAAGGACGACTTAAAGCTCTTAGAGGACAAACACTCATTGCTGAGAGCACAGACGCATAGTACGTGATGCATAGCCATCAACCACGGAAGAACTAATCTGATGTTCGAAGAGACGCTATCAACTCGACTCTCACACTGAATAAAACACTGCCGATGCTCTCCACGCTGCGTCATAGACTATGACAAAACTTATTGATATATGATCACAGATCGCATATCAATAATATTTGGTTATACTATATAAAATACTTTCTTATTGCATTTCTCGAAGATTAAGTAACAGGATGCCGAAGAAATGGCGTCCTAAATAGATGCAAAAACCTAATATCTTTGTAATTAGCAACAGCAATTACATCGTGTTTCACATTTCAACTGCTTAGGAATTATGCTAACAATTTTTTTTCCGTTTTTTAAAGACGAGAAGAAGAAGAAATGAAAAAAATTGCTGAAGCTAATCGTCGTGAAAAAATTGAAACACAATTAGCTAAGCAACGTGCTATTGAGCAAATAGAAGCTGATAAACGTGCTCGACGTGAAAAAGCAGCTGCAGAAAAAAGTGGAGGAATTGTTGAAGATATTCCACCAGCAAAACCTCAACAAGTTGCTGCACCACAACCAACACGACAATATGATGAATGTAATCTTCAAGTTCGTTTATCTGATGGATCAACAATACGACATATATTTAAAGCAACTGATCGATTTGAAAAAGTTTCTGAATGGATAAATCAAACACAAAAGTCTCATCCATTTATGATTTTACAAAATTATCCAAAAAAGGAATTCATTGAAAGTGACAATCATAAATCATTAAATGAACTTGGTAAATACAAAATGAAATTTTCTTTTTTTCTTATTCTTCCATATTTTTTTTTATATGTCTTAGGTCTTGTTCCATCGGGATCACTCATGGTAAAAGCACTTACTCATTTTCAAACATAATCTTTTTTTCTGTTTGTTGATTCTTATGTTTACTCTCTTTTTTTTTAAATAAATAAATGAATAGCCAAGAACAAAGCCTATTTTGTAATGCACTTTTGAGTTATCAAGTTCGAATACATATTCGTTTATGTTTCATCGATTGATCAACAAAAAGAATAAAATAAATTTCGTCAAATTTATCATTTTACAGATGAACCAAAATATTCCTTCAATTTGTTATATAATGAAAAATGTAATCTGATTTATTTTATCTTGGCTCACTAGGGACCTTCCTCAGGTATTACCTTCAGATTTCAATGGTTTGTCTTTTTACTACGGATAGTACATAGTGGCCTACTAAAATCCTAGAAAGGTTTGGGTTTCTATTGATATTTGATTAGGCTATCGAATTTTTTTGTAAAAGTTCCCGACAGACCTTCGTTATACAGAAGCCTCTAGAAAATATGTGTCTTAAAAACTCGATGGCCTAGTCAAATATTAATAGGAATTCAAATCCTTTCGAGTTTTTATTGGAATACTATGTAGTATCTATAGGTAAAAAGTCATTGAAATCGGAAGAAGACAGCTGAAAAAAATTCCCTGGTCGGCTGCTGTTCTATATATCAAAAATGAGTTTCGTTTTAAAAGACTTTTACATAATGTTAATGAATCAGTATTTTCCTTTATTAATCAGATATAATTTTCAAATTTACACTTCTCTCTTCTTTTTTCCTACTGAATATATTCACTAGCGTAATCATATGTATTGAAATGAAAATAGTAAACAAATGATATAATTCAATCAATCATAATAATGGTTTGTGTTTGTCATGTCTCATTAAATTGTATTATATTACATAAACAGAGCTAATCTATTATTTGTATCTGAACGATGCTGTAGATAAATGAATATGGTTAGCTTGTCATATGTTCACGATTGAGCACTTGTATAACAAATATTATTCTATTTAATCTCAACTAGGTGATTGTCAAAAATCAACTACTTTTATTTTATATTATTTTGTTTGACAAAAATGAATTGACATACATCAAAAAAAAACTAAACTGATTCGAAAAGTGAGCATTCTTAAAATATCATTTTAATGAATAGAGTTTGATCATTCTTAATGTATCAATAACCAATCATCATGAATTCTGTATATGATGTACAAATTTCAATGCCTCTTTTCGAAGTGACCAGCACACGATAATTTGCAAATGGTATTGGAAAATTTTGAATGATTTCCAATGCTCCCAACGTTGATCTTCCTAGATTGGATACGAGTCCCGTACTACCATTGTAGATTAACGTCCAGCTTCGTCCAAAGGTGAGTTCATCTCCATGCAGATTACTACCTTCGATAGTGATTGTCAATGGATCACGTTGTGGATAGTTGGTATTCGTGCCCACATAAAATGCCACTAGGCTGAAGAAGCTATTGCCTAATGATAAATACCAACCAGTATTTTCTCCACATGTTATTGACATAGATGAGTACCCAATACTACAGCTTCCGTAATTTGTATACTCGGTAGTCATATTACTATCGAATAAGGTTTCTGGAGAGTTTCCAGGATAATATGTACCCACAATTTCGCCAGTCAATTTTGGTGAACTATCGCCACCTGCCATTGTATTCCATATGGCATAAACAGTTTCATTTGAACGATTGAAGAGTTTTAAAGCTATTCAAAAAGAAAATAGTTCGAATTTTGCAAAATAGATTTCATAGACTCTTATCTGAATATACGAAATTTGATTGTTCTAAGCAGATCTCGAGAGAGATTAGTATAATATAAGTAATCATGGGCGCTTTGAGATAAGATGATCAAGTTTGTTCGTATTCATTATACTCAAATTATCTTTAATAATAGTAAATGAGTAAAATAAGGATCAATAATTATTCATGTTTAAAGCATTTTATTTATACTGTAATGTATGTCAGAAAAAGTATTATTTCATTGTAGAAGACTTGAGTTTAGAAAAACTATTTGAAATCTATGCATGTATAACTTCAGATATCTACCAAAATCTGCATAAGAAGATTTTTGAGAAGCCAGAATAAACTAATAAAAAACTCAAGATTTACCGCTCTTAGTATGGTACATAGATATATGTGTGCTTTTCCATTTAATTTATACGAAAGATCCAATAAAAATAATAGGTCACCATCGATCAAGACAATACTTTTTAGAGAAGGAAAGACGTTGAAATAGAATCTCGTAGACATATCTATCCTTTTAATCATCTTTTTCTACTGCATTTTGTATCATATTTATAAACTGTTAAACATCGTACACTATTGTGGTTCGAGAACGAAAATAACTAATAAAGCCCTTGAATAATATCTTTTTATTAACCAGACTGGATATGTTAATATTGAATCTATTGAATATTAGGCAAGATCGATTTTCAATGATTTCTGTTATTTTTATTAGATTACCAAAAGAATCAATGATTCAATTTACAACGCTTAAAAAGCAACAAGTAAAAAGTAGATAGAAAAAATCCAACGACGAATGTACTATGAATGTATTTCTGATTGTTGTATTTACAATTGTACTATTTTCTAATCAGCTGCACTTAAGTCTTCAATTTTTCTTGATTCTGGGCATTCCGTTTTTTTCCACTTCTATAAGTCTGTTAGAAGTAACACATACATAGAGAAAGAGTAGAAATGCAAAGAAAATGGAAATTGAAAAACATCTCTATATAGAAATTGACGAAGCTTCGAAAAAGTCATTCTAATTCAATACAAAGGCATCTCTCCAACGCATTATTCAATGTTTATTGATTGTTTCGAGGTTACATGAGAAAGAAATGAACGATATGAATATCATAATTGTCTTGCACTCAACTTTCGTCTTGTAAACGAAAATTTCTATATTAAAATTGCAAGGTAGGTGTTGAACCTACGTAGTGCTGATATCTATGCCAAACACGGGAGATATAGACTTCTAAAATGTTTCTCTTGACTGCATTGAAATAAAGATATCATGGGACAAGTATTGAAACCTGGTATTTTAGTTCTATTGATGATTTCTCAGTTCAATCTTTTTCTAGTTCGTTCATGATGCATAAAAATAAAAGAAGATGATAAATCTTCACTTCTCATCATAATTACTCATGTAAAGAATTCCTTGTCGAGTAGTCATTGGTTGAGCAAAATCAATATAATAATTCGCCTTAAACCGAATTATATGTAAGTGATCATTGTCAAGATACACATATTGAATACGAAAAACGAACAACAAGTAGTATGTAATTCATAGCTACACATCTATTCTCTTCTATATGAAATAAAATTATTAATCATTGAAATTGATAATAATAGAATCATATTGAGAAATCATCATATGGGACCGGTTTGAACCGAATCATAGGCTGTCTTTAAAAAAGTGATGTACCCTTACAAACTGTTATGTCTTCTTTTTTAATTGAACTCTATTTGTTATTTCGAGAATTTCTATACCATCATCCGTTTGAATCTCATTTAATATTAGTTAAATGTATTTGATAAATGGAAAAATACTATTCTATCTTCTTCTAATGATGGTAAGAGCGTTGTCAACATTTAGTTTTTTTAAGAATATCTCCATATTAACATTTGTCTAGTCTAAATTAGCGTCTATGTACCTTATTTATTCTATCAAATGCATTATAACAACAAGAGAATTACTTAGATCCATTCTAAATTTATCTGGCTCATACAAATGTGTTTCTAACTTACCATTGAAACTTCTATTTCCAAAGTAGTAAACTTTGGCATTAGCAATAGTTGGTACAACTCGTAATTTTCCTTGACTCAATTGTGCAAAGAAAAGTAAACATGTTTGATTAGAACCAAAATATGTCACTATAAAACAAATGACATTATTGTAACATTGACACAGACAAGTATAAGCTGAACTAATTGATGAAAAACTGTTTATTATATAGCGTCTGTCAATTGGATCAAATTGAGCATTTCTATACACAGTATAACGTGTTGTTGCCGTAAATAAAAATACGAGATAGATAAGAATAATGATTGTGATTTTAAAAAGTATACTAATGAAATTCTTCATTATGAAAAGATGTTTCTGATAAAAGAAATTCTAAAATAGAAGTCTACGAATATATATGTACAACAGTTATGTAACGTTAGTCACCTGTCGTTCGAATGATACTAGATCAAGGCTCGTAATGTAGAATGCTTTAATTAGCTAAAGTGCAGCAGTGAAAAATAATCATAAAAATATATTTCTATTGTATGCACTGTTACACATGAGTATTTTTCTTTCATTTGTAAGAGTTCTTGTTCTTGTTACCATGTTACATTTCTTTTTTCTTCACTTTTTTTGTAGCAAATCTTTCGTATGCGTCAAACACATAATAGATTTTTTCCAGTATTGAAGATCATATTGAGAGCTTCTGTGCAAGTAAAATTTTGAGAGAAATGTATTTTAATATGTAAAAATTCTATTTACAAAACGTATGATATTGATTTCCTGACGTCTCAAATCGATACAAGCGTGATAAAAAAAAATGTTATTTCCTATGAAAATTGTGCTTTTGTTTTGTTTCAACATTTCACACGAATTTCATCGAATCGAAGAAAAGTCTTACACAATTTGATACATTTTGGAAAATTACGTAGTATGAATATACTTCAGTACCGCTACTTTATGTTTATTTAATGTCTTATCACTTCTATAGCAACATAGATGACATTATTTTCAATAAAAACTTCATTATTCAAAGTAGCCATCTGTATATTTTCTCTAAATTAATACTATGCTAGATGTTTGGTTTAACTTCCTGAACGATTTTAACTTAACTGTAAGCTAGAACGCATCGAGTTGATTGGAGTCTAAAAACCCTACACCCTACAGACTCTAGCCATCTAAAAAATGTATATCATACCTAAGTCATTGAATAGAAGTACCGAAAAAAAAACATTCCGTATGTTCTAAGTGACAATTCAATTCCGAAAAGAAAATTTCATCGGCAGGATTAAACAGGGTGGCCAGATGGAAAATTTCAAAATCAGAAAAAATAATTCAAAAATCAGAAAATTGGCAGAAAAAAGATTCATTGAAATCAGAAGAAAATCAGAAAGTGTGTTCAACGTGAAATATCAGCACTGATGTTTCCTATATCATTCGAATCGGTCGAAAAATGCGGATCTGTTTTAATTACTTCCGTAACCGACGACTAGCCACGGTTATTTTCTTTGTTCTCACGATTTTCCAGGGTAAAACTCGATGGTTAATCTTAGTCAAGCTCCTAGTTAACCAGATTAGTAATCGGTAAATTGTCAGCTGATCACTAAGTGATCTGATTCACTGAGAGGTTAACAGTGGGTTTTTACACTGGAAAATCGTGGGAACAAAGAAAATAACCACGGTCAAGCGACGGCTATGACAATAACCGAAATAAGCCGTCGTAGGTGTGGGTGTGGGGTGTGGTTGTGGGTGTGGTTGTGGGTGTGGGGAGTGGGTATGGCCGTATGTGCTCTTCACTCATACCTATAGCCACACCCAGCCCACACCCGCACTCACACCCACACCCACCCACACCCACACCCACACCCCACACCCACACCCACACCCACACCCTATTGTCCATAGAAGTGAATATAAATCTTGATGTGAACATTTATTTAATTTATTTTTTGTATTTAATTTAGGATTTATTTGATTTGATGTTCTTTTATATTGATTTCCACCAAATATTTCAATAAATATTTTTGGTATATTTTTCAAATATAATTGATGATATATTAAAAACATGTTCAACACTTGATCGATTTCTGATGGAATTGAATCAGGTAAATTGGTCATATCTTCGCATTTATGTAATTTATCAAAAAAAAACAAATAATTCTAAATGATTAACACTTTTTAATAAACGTGATATTGATATTGGATTATTCTGATTTGTTGTTAGATGTTTATATATTTTACATGACACATATAATGAAATAGCTAACCAATGTAATTGATCACCTTCTAAAACATAATATTTACTAATATGTTCATATGAATGTCATGCATCTAACTTTGTTTCCATATCCATATTTAAATCAAGACATGATTTTGAATATAACATTTCAATTGATTCATCATCTTTATTTGACATTTTAGCTTTTTTTATTCTAAAATAATCAAAAAAAAAACAAAATAATTGACATTGGCTGTGAGTGTGGGTGTGGGTATTTTACTTACACCCAAGATAGAGACGAAATGTTTTTGTTTTGCTGATTCATAAAGGGTGCAACAAATATCCATGTTTCCATTCATTTACGCAAATTGAAAAAGAATCAGAAGGCCATCACTATCATCCTCATTATCATTAAAATGGACAAGAACAATTTTAAACCATATGCTAGTGGCACATCGTCGTCTACGACAAGTAAGCCAAATAAGTCATTCACAGCTGCAGCACCAACGATAGTTGTGAGTAGAAGAGCTGGGTGTGGGTATGAGTGTCTTTTTTTGTTGAACACCCACATATACACCCTATTAGAGCTGTAACAGTACCAAGAAGCGATGAATATTTATGTGTCTATTCTTATCTTCATAAAACTGTGCATGAGTATAAATAGAAAGTTTTTTTTTTTGTTTAATTTAGAAGAAGTCGATGACCATATAAAGGTCATACCTTCAATAATAAGTTGTTTCGTTGCAATAGGATTGTTATCAGTGACTATTATGATCACATCAACGATGAATTTCTTTCTTTATCGCCATCTATCGTTGTTTGGCATCAAATAAAATCACTTAGTATTACACAACCATTCAATTCAACTCATCTTTGTCTTTTTGCAAACGACTAATCGACGTATTCTGGAACTGCATTATAGATCAGAATATGATACTAAACATTATTTGAAAGAGGAAAATTGAATCTATCTATTCGATAATATTTCTTTGTGCAGAATGTTCATGTCAAATGGCTTACGATAACTCAATCTTTTTCCTGTTTTGTGACAACCAAATTTGGTAAATATTGCCTATTTAATTGTCGAGCGACTTTCTCATTTGCAAGTCATTGAAGTATCACATTTACTTATCAACAATCTTCCAAAATTAAAATTTCTTACTATTAATGGCGAAGATGAATATGATCAACTTTATGAGAAACAATTGCATGATCTGCAAAGTTCAAATACTCATTCTTTTCGAACAGAAATTCGTAACACAATAGATGAGGATACACTTTTTGTATGATTATAATAAAATGAAACTGCTAATATTTCTTTATTTCTTTGTACTTAGACTCGTTTTGTGAAAGAATCATAAGAAGTTTTCAACATGAATAAAGCAAAACTTTTAGAATTTTGTTTCGTAAGTTAAATCAGATGAAAAGATCTTCTGTGTTTGATATTAAATTATACTAAGATTCTTTGCTAGTTGTACACTAGAATGTATACAAAATTACTTCTACATGAAAACAATAACACTAATATTTGACCAAAAGATATTTTTTTTATTATTAATAATCAATTTATTTTCAGTTACATTTTGACATCAAACGCTATTTTAACTCATCTTCCCGTTATCATCTTGTTCTATTTCCTTTCTCACATATAACTGACCGAAAATAAACAACTTGAAATGTATTCTATTTTTAAGTATTCTTACAATAAATAATTATATTATTTCAAATTTATCCTTATATTAATATTTTAAAAGTTAAAACTTATTATAACATTTCATTGTTCAATAACAGTAACATATTTAAACTAGACCTCCACTCAAACTAAGCACGAGTAGAAAAGATGTCTGACTGCAGAATTTTCATAATTGTCATATATGTTAATAGTTATTTTTTAAAATCTAATTTATCTCTTATTAATAAATGAAGTTGGACATTGATTGATAACGAATATCAATTGCATATCCCTTTATTCGAACATTATAGTTCTTTTTTATTTTGTATATATAGTAAATCTTCGAGACTCTTTCATGGATAAAGTTAATTTATACAAAACGATAATTAACGTGTATATGCATATAAGATACGAGATATCAATGGTCACTAAAATACTAAGTCATTTATAACTATATAAAGAAATTACCAGCTGTTAATTACCATTTATTTTTGTTCTTGCATCTTCCACATGGAGTCGAAGAAAAATGAATTTCAGATGGGCCCTACGCACATTCTCACGAGTTTGACAAGCTTTTTTGTGGGATGTGGGTGAATCTCTTCTTTCTGGCCTCATCCAAACTCACCCACACCAAAATCAGTTTTTTCAATGTAGAAACTCTCAGTTACAGCTGATAATTTGATGTAAAAAACCTTACAAGCATTTGTCTCATTACCATTTTGATGTAGATAAACATATATGACAAGTTAATCTAAGAAGACAATGAATTTATAAACTGTTCACTGATTGAAATATATAATTTTGTAGAATGCATCAATCTAATCCAATGTTATTTTCCTATCGTACTAATCTCCAAATGGCTAATTTCATCTTACATTTCATTGAGAAGAATTTTTTTCATGACAGCTTGATGTGTTTTTATCTGAATAGATTTAATACAAAATTTATCGTTTCAATGGAATAATATTCATCATATTAGATGATTATGATTTTAATTTTGTAACATTCTTTATATTCCCATAGGTATTCATATTGACAATCTTATGTTTGAAAATTTTCCTGTTTTGAAATTTTGTTGTCTCATATCCTACTTGCTTGAATATATTTTTCGACAATTTTTGCAGCTTTAATTAAAATTATCTTAGTGTTCTTTTTAAAATTCAATAGAAGATGCTAGATAAATGAATATTATTCCATTGAAATGATAGGTCTTGTATAAAATATTTGCAGAGGTGAAAGACATACTGATATTATGAGAAAGAATTTTTCTCAAAAATATAAGATGAAATTATTCACTCAAAATTGATAATATGAATGCAATAGAGAACAATATATCTTTTGTAGAACTTTAAAAGATCTATGAAAAAAGAAATAGAGGAGGCAGATCAAACAAATTGATTCAGTCATCTATAGATAATCAGATCAAAGTGAAAGTTTTGTAAATCTCCTAACTTTCCTCTCAACTGATGATTTTCTTCGAAAATATTGATATCAAATGCTATCAAAATTTGATGCTTTTATTTAACCAAAAATTAATTGACTAAAGGCAATAGTTCCTTGAAAAGAGCAACAACAATTATATTCGATATGAAAAGAAAAAGGCATGCATAGTCTGTGGAACCATGAGTCTTCTTTAAAAGACAACAGTTGACAAAATTAACTTTATCATTCACTGGACTTATCTCAATGTACGAGGAAACCGTAGTTAAGAAAAAATACATTTTTTATATGAGCGCATAAGTAAATTTATAAAAATCATGACTTTTCAGAAGAATTTGAACAGTTTGTTCAAGATTTTTATTAATAAATTTACTAACAATCAAAAAATTTATGTATAAATACTACATTATATGAAAATAACGATTAAGGCTCATGATTCAAATGTTTCTCTGACTAGCGAATACTTGAGTAGGAGTTAACAGACATGTTTTTTTTTTGTTTTCAATGCATAGTATTTAAAATACTTGCAAAGTTCTCTTTTTCTTTTGAATAACTTTTGAAAAATTTATATTCCAAATATTCAAACATAAAATTTTTTTTGCCAAAAAATATAAGATTTTCTTAAGATTAATTAAAGAACAGAGTGAATATTTGCGATACAAGTCAATTTCAATTTTATCTGAATTTTCACTTATTCAGGAGAAATATATTTATTTAAGATTAGAAGACTTAACTGATAATATCTTAGAGTTTCTGAATTTCGTCGATGGCCAATTTCTGAGAAAGAATGTCATCTTATATGACAATAAAACTGAATGATCAGGTTTATGATCCTGATGATTCTTAAAAGTAGATATCAATGACAATTATTAGCTAGAAAAATGTGAATGAGATTGATTGATCTATTCAGAAGAGACAGATAATAAACTGTAACTGTGGAAAAATATTTTCTTAGTCTAGAATATTTGCAACGGCTTGCTTGTTAAAACAAAACGCAAATTAAATTGATAATTGTCCCAAAATCAAAAAAAAGAAACACTTCTTCAGAAGAAAAAGTGAAGAATACAACGAATTCCTAGACAATAGAATGTATGGCTTTGTAGATGAACCGAAAACTCACACCTTATTGTATATATTTCTGTTTAAATTAAATTTTATGAGAAAAAAATTTTTTATTTTGTATCGTCACATGTATGCAAAGTTTACTGTGTCAACAACAAAAAAAATATTTGAAGCAAAGTTAAATAAGTTAGAACACAAAATTTATATCACGAAAGTAGATTGTGAGAAAAAAAGTTTTGAAGCTAATCGTCTCTCCTATTTTCAGTAATGAAAATAGAACAGGATTCAACATCATACTATTCATTGAAACAACGACTTCTTCCATAAACATATATTAGTAATTTTGAAAAAATGAATAAATATAGATAGGCATATGAAAAAAAATGATTAGCTAAGATATAATCATTTTTGTAAAGTTGTGATGTTATATGTGATTATCAAACGATGTTCGATGAAATATTTTGCAAAGCCATCAATTTACATTTTGTAAACATTTACCAAAAATCCAGAAATAAATTTAAAATAAAATCTAAATATGTTTGAAGTATTCTAGAATGTGTTTACAAGCCTTTTAGTATCTTTAGAATATAACAGGAACATGGTGCGATCATTTTCTTAAAGAATATTCTTTAGTGATGATCGAATTTTCGTTATTTATGATTTATTTTTTCTGAAATCATGCATTTTGATGATTGTATCGTTGAGTTTTAACTTATGCTTTTCATTAAAAAAATTCTCAGAAATTTACAATCTAAAATAATTTTACAGGATAATACCGCGCTTGTCAGGCATCGAACTGAACTCGAACCTGTGGAAGTTGGTTTGATTCCTTTTCTGATAGTTATCGTTAAATAGTGTCCATGATGAATTGCTTTTTACATTAAAATATTCAATTTTATTCTTTATTATGAAATTTTTTTTGTATTGATAATAAAATAATAAAAAATACGAATAATAAATCAAGAAAAAAGAATTGTCATTTGAATAAAGAGAAACAATTGTGTAGTGCGAGACTTTTTGAATTTATCATTTTCAATGGATTTTCAGAAAACAGTTCAATAGGATGAAGTATGGTAGCTGCTTTTTACAACTAAACTACTAAATCAAAACGATTCAAAGATTGTAGATGTGGTTAAACAGAATATCAACATCTATACTCACATTCTTCTTGATATTATTAAAAGTACTGGTTATAAATGCAAGTTTTAATCCAGATTTGTGCAAATTTCTCTTAAACTCTAACGTCATGGTTTAGAAAAGTTTTCGTTAAAACTTCAATGGCTAAAATATGTTTAATGGATACATGTAATCGACTTATTTACTAGTTAAATCAATAATTAAAATCATAATAAAACATACGATATGAAATATAAATCAATAAGCCAAACAGAAATTAGAGCACAAAATAAATGACAATCTATTCTGATTGGTTTTAGAAAATTTAGATATGATTGTTATAGTAGAGACCAATTCTAGTAAAAAGAAAAAAAGTAGATAAATTAATTTTTGTTGCTATGTTTCCATTTTATGAATCGATATTTTTAGTTTTTATTGAGGATGCGGGCATGGATGACAGAGGGAGAGAGAGTATATGGTTCATCAACATATCCAAACAACATCTGCATCCACACCGTATTTTGAATGTGTTCAAGTAAATCAGCATATAATTTTTCTAGATTCGATTCATTTATGAATGCTTGTTCAAATTAACGTCAATGTTCAATATTCGTTAACTAAAATAAATAAAATAGATTTGTTTTTTTGTTGATATAATTGATATTTGCAGAGACTATTTTCGATCAGCAATAAGAAATAAACGATTGCCTGATTCTTCAAAACAAGCACTGAAACGTGATAACATCAATAAAAACCTAAAAAAGTAAAAGATATACTATATTATCAATGAAAATTCATTTTGACATTTCATGACGAAATTTATATGATTTTGTATTGATCGTCATTCCTTCGGATTGAAATAAAGAGTTTTTGTTTTTCATTAATGTTTTACTATTTATCTTTTCCAAATAAATTTTAATTGTATGTGTAAGTCTTAATAATTTTTAAAAAGAAAACTAGGAAGAATATTTAACCATAGGCAGAATTTTACTCATAAGAGGGTGTGGGTGTGGGTATCATTATAGGTCTTGTCTTCACCCACACCCACACCCTGTGATAGACATGCACTTAACATAAGACAAGTTAACCCGCATATAGCCATACATAGTGATTTTTCTTTGTGCAATATTTGTCATTGATAATAAAGTCCATTCATTAATTTTAGCTGAATAACGTGCATTAATTAAAGCACGAAAAAAAAACTAATATGTGCAAGTAATAATGATAAAGGACGTAATAAAAGTAAAGCTTCATATGGTAATGTTGATGATTGTTTTTACGTGCATATAATTCTTCAACAAGTTCAATAAGAATATTATCTGATGATGATATTATTGATGAACTATCAATTATTGTTTGTTCTTTATTAACATGTTCATTATTTAATGAATTTGTATTTTTATTTGGTCGTTGTAATAAGGTATAAATACGTGAAAGTATTAACACCATATATCATTTTTGGGATATTGACCAACTATTGAAAGTTTTTCAAGACTAATTGATATAATTTTTTGTGTTAAATTATCATCATTAATTAATGATAATCAAATATCATATGAATTTAAATCAACTTCATGAATAAACATGATGCATATGCATGAGTTTTAGTTATAAATTTATAATTACGTTCAATTAAACGTAGATATAATTCATTATATTCTTTTGTTCTTTGTTCAAGTAATATACTAGATTTACATTAATTATAACTTATTAAGGATATTATTAAATCATCTTCATCAAACCATGTACAAAAATATTCATCATATAAATTTGATAAATGTGGTGATGATGGAAATAAATCAGATAGATATATAAATGAACCTATTAATTCATATTACATATATTTCAATTAGAATTTGTAATGATGATGCTAAATCAAAACCATGATGAAAAAATAAGCGATCAAATAAACTCTAAATTATATATTTTTAAGGGTAGATGCCAGCAAAGAAAATATTCATACTCTAATTTTCTGATTGATAGAATATATTTGAAATTATTGATATAAGCTTTTATTTCTATGAAATAAGATAGTTTGCATGTATTATATATCAAATCAAAGTCAGAGAAACACTAGATTTTCTGTTTGATGAAATTAATAATTTAGCAATGAATTTATCTTTCTTTTAACTTAGAGTTCTATTTGTCGATTATTAAAACATATGTGAGACTTACATTAACTGATAATGGTAATGTATTATTACTTTGGATTGATGTTAATATAGTATCATATGAAAGTTGTCCATAGGATAATAAATCACGTGTACCTAACTGTTCAATATTTGTAAATAAATTATTTGAACTTGTATCTAATATTGATAAAAAAAGAACAGATAAAATCTAGTTTATTTTTCAATCTTGTTACCATTGTGTTGCATTTGTTTCTAAAGTTTCTTCTTTTTTTTTACAATTATTTGTTGTTTGTTTATTTTCATCATTAGATTGATTTGTGGTGAATTAATTGAAGCTAAAAATGAAGCTTATATTTCTTGAAATTGTATTCTTAATAATCAACCAACTCCAAAATTGTCTTTATATAAATATTGGTAAACAAAATAATAATATCACTATACAATATAAATCATGTCAATAAATATATGAAATATATATATATTTAATTTTTTTTGTTAAATAATAAAGATGATCTTTTATCTGGTTCAATTAAATTTAAATATGATTATAATATATTTGATATAGTTAAACCATGTTGTTGATAAAGATATTCAAATATTGATAATAGTATTTTCGATAATGTACAACATGATATTATTTGATCTGTTTCACAACTAAGAAATGATGTTTTTTTTTTTTGAAATATATTTATATAAATTATTTCTGATATAAATATTATAAAACATAATAAATCATGTACATCACCTGTTGAAAACTGACATGTTAATTCAACATAATTTTGTATTGTATCAAAATATATTGATATAGAATCTATGAATGCAATTAAATATGGTTGATTATTAGAAGCATGATAAAAGACTTTTTTCATAAATTGTATTAGGTGTTGTTTCAATGTCATTTTAATTTGTTTCATTTGATATAACTATACAAAATCCTAGGAAAACAAACAAAGAACAGATTTATATTGTTTCTTATTTTCCCAAATCAATTTTCATTTACTATAAGAATCATCCTAAAAATTTAATGCTGTGGAACAAATCCAATACGTTTTCGGAGTTCACGAGTTCAAACTTATAGAAAGTTTATCGAAATTCTCGAATGCAATTTATTTCGAAATATAATATTAGAAAGATGTCGTTTTCTTTAATTGTAATAGTACAAATAGCACGACTGAGAATTTGATCAATAAGATTCGAGAGGAATTATTCGGTCATTGTACTAATATAGCTTAAATGCTTTCCTTTACGATTTGTATTACCTGAAATTCTGCATATTTTCTATTTCAAAATATTTTTCGAAATTTTGAATTATTCAAAAGTCTCATATATTACTAGCACATAAACAATGTCAAAGTAAAAAACAAAAACATTTCTTTTAATTGGATTAAAATTTTTATTATACATATATATTTATTTATTTAGATAAATTAAACTAAAATATACCGGTGACATCATAAATGATAATCATTTTTTATAAGTTAGATTTTTAAGTATTTGTTCATAAATTTTTCTTGTTATAGCTATAGGACAATTAAGATTATTAAAATCTTAAGTAATAATATTGATTGATATTGTTATTGATAATATTTATAAAATTAATGGTAAATATTTAGGTAATAATTGTTCATTTAATGGTAATGGGAAGAAATTGTTCAATTAATAAAACTAATGTAAGACCACTTTCATATAAATGTATTCCTTCACAAACGAATAAATGACTTGCAACTGATGTATGATGTATAAGATCAAATAAATTATGTACATATGTGCATGTATCACTTTGTTCAATAAAAAATAATAATAATAATTGATAATGTGTTGTTATTGATGTAAAATGTTCAACATATAATTCATGATGACATATTAAATCACAATAAGATTGCAATTGACCACTGATAGATAAATGTATTCTTGATGATGATGGTGTTAATGTCGGTGACCAGCATGCTTCTCGTATATAATCAAGTATATTCAGAATATGTATCCATTGTAATAATAATGAGATATAAAATGATGATCATAATAATTTAAAACATTCATTTAAAATAGTTAAATATGAAAATGTCTCAAGACACTGTAGAGTTTCATCATGAATTCATAATTGACGAAAATCATTTACAATTGTTCGAAATTGTTTAACTAAAATAAAATATAGATCTTATATAAGCATAGGAATTTTAAAGTCAAATTTATTTCGCTAGCCCATTAGTAATTAATGAATTGCAGGAAAGTTTTATCATCAAATTAATGAGTGATATCTTACTATCATATAGATTATGATGAAAGCTTAAGCTCTTTTGACTTTGATAGAAACCAGTTTTTATCTGTTCAGTTAGTCCATAATATACATAAGTATGTAAAGATAATCGCATGCAAGAGAAACAAATGTCGCATTGATTTGACCACATAATTGTCGAGTATTTGTTAAAATTCATAATATTATGTCATGTAAAAAACGAAGAAGAGCTCTGAAAACAAAAACGAGAATAATAGTTTTTAAATTATAAATAAAATCATTTCGAATATTAACCCACTAAAAGTTTCATCTCGTGTTTCATTAACTGATGATAAAACATCATCCTATCGTGTTAATATAGCATCTTCAGTTAAATTTTGTACAAGACATTGAAGTATTATATTTATATTGATTAATTATCGATTTGTAGATTGACAATTGACATTCTACAAAAAGTTTTGAACTACAGGAAAATTTTATAAATAAAAACAACGGACATTTCTATTTACTAACGCTCGAAAAGCAATAACAAATGGATCAATTGATCGTAATGCAACTGATGAGACAACATCAAATAGTGTTAATTGTGTGGAATAAATATCCAAAAGTGATTGATTCTATTTGAAAAAAAAAAGTAACGTAAAATCAGAGACTATTAAAAGAAAAATAACCTGAAATTATAAATGAACAAGAAGTACATCGACAATTTATCGTGAAAGACGTTTTCATTTATCATCTTCAATTTGAACACTATTAACAATAACTGTTAACAATCGTAAAGCCTATAACAATATAAATTCTATTATTATTTTTTCAGTACATACACATGACATGAAAAGATACTTTTATTTATAATAATTAAGACGCCTAGTTTTCCTTCAAACTCAAATACATAACTGAAGATTACTGTCTCTAAATCTTGTTGAGTTCTGGACATCAACAAGATGATTATTTTCAGATCATCGATTCGTTGAAGTGTGGGTGTGGGCTCAATAGAGGAGAAAAATTACATCTACACACTCACACCCTCGAAAATGTTTTTTTTTTGCTTCCTACCATGTGTTTCAGGTTCATGTCCACTTGTTAATAATGAATCATAATGTTTTATTAAATCTTGTACTTTAATAACTTGTTTTGAATGAAATGTTTCATGTAATAACATAACAAGAAATTCAGCAATACAATAAATAAAATGCTATTTAAAAATAAACGAAACGATTAGAAATGCAACGAATTTCATCAGCTTCTAATTAACTATTATTAACACGAATTAAAAGTAATTGAACAAGTAAATCGAGTACAGCAGCTTGGGAATCACTTTCATTTGTATTAATATATTTTTTAAGACTAATTTATTTTAGTTCAATAAAAACTAAAATAGAAAACAAAAAAACAGACAGAATAAATCAAATTCGTTTTTTTTTGTTTATTTTACTCTCGTATTGCACTATTTTCTATGGATTGATCACTATTTATACATGATGCATAACGTGGACCAAATAAAATAAATTATCGGTTGTCGAATACTTATTGTATAAATATAAGTTAAAGAATTATTTAATGATACTTGCGAAGAAATATTTGAAGATTTAATAAAAACTAAATTAAAAGAATATTTTTAAATGAATGCTGTGTTAACAGAAAAAATGATTTTCAAATTTCGAATTGATAGCGTGTCTTGCGGATCGCTCACGTCAACTAGATGATTTAATATTCGAATTTCAAGATAGAACCGAATCAAAAGATCTGACACTTTCACAACAAAACTACTCTCGTTAAGATCATCGATATTCGTAAAATCAGTTTTTCTGTTAGTATGACATTCTTATATTGAAATTTTCCTTCTCTAGGAAATACCCTTTCAG